ATGACCTTATTGTGCTCTGACTCAAAACAACTTCCAGTCCTGATACACAGGGCTGGAGTTGTTTCTCTAGAGGCTAGTGATCACCAAGTCCTGGGGACCCACTAGGTGTGCAGGCTTTTATTCTAGCCCAACACTAACACACCTGATTCAACTAATCATCAAAATCTAAGGCTGAAACCTGGGTTGGAGACCACTGCTGTAGCCAATAGACAAGTTGGACAAAGAGGTTTCTGCAACGCTATCACGATGTAATGTGTTGCAAGTTGTGTATTGGAGTTCCCTGTCTATCTGTCCAGTGACATATTGATGTGGCATCATGATTTTAGTGGTGTTTTATTGAGTAGGGGAACACAGCGCAAGAACTCATGTCTGATTCTGTCTTTGCAATACAACTATCTTCCCTGTAAGCTCTGATTTAGTCAACAATAAAATGAAAACTTGTTGGAATGATTGCTGGTGTGAGTTTGTTCCCTGGAATCAGATGTCCCAGTACTCTGCAGGAGATACGGACATGCTCTTCTTACATTTCTAGCTATTACACCATATCACAACACAGGCCATTTAGCAACTGCAACAGCACAGTACCATGTTCCAGCATCTCTGCACCAGCAGTGTGTTTGCAATAATATTATGATGATTCATGGGAAGTTTAAGAAAGTTACAAGTTTGAGCGGTCGGTTGTCTATACTCTATAACTATTGAAAATATAACTATTAAAATCACGAGACCTTCACACAAAAAAGGGGTTCAACAAAATATGTATTTTACAGTCACCTCTGTTAGCCAGGGGTAATCCACACAGTACAAAATAATATCTGTAAAGTCGCCTTAAAATAAAGAGGGAGAGAGAAGTGACATTGGCAGTTCTTGTCAAACGTTACCCATAATACAACTGACTGACAACTAAATTGTATCAAGAACAGGTTTAAACCAGTAGACTGTATAAAGAAAAGGTTATAGTAGCCAACGCATAGCCTCTGCTGTGATGATCAATATCCTGTTACTGTTAGCATCTTTCCAGTCAATGTGTGATAAAACGTCAAAGGTCAAAACAAAAACACAAATAATTTGAATAATTGACACCCAGCCCTGAGATTTAGACATGGAAACAATATTACAAACCAAACACATTTTACAAACATGAAAATAATAGTCCAAAAGCCATATCTGGTACAATGCATCAGTTTGATTAAATAAAGCGGCTGTGACAATTAGGAAAAATCTGTTTCAAAGATGGCACAATATAACCAGATGTGGAGGTAAGTAGAATAGGTTTTTATGTGTAGCTAGCTACATTCCAATAGCCATACCACTTAGAATGCATGCCCAATACATTGCTTAATTCTAGGTGCTATACTAGTGTGGATATTGGTACAGACACACACGTGTATCTCCTCCTGTGTGAGGAATCCTCTCCCAGTGAGCGGCCTGCTGTAAAATTCACCATCTCTGCTGTTCAATCTCCCTGTACAGACTGACCGATTTCACTGGTCTCAGAACAACACTGCCTCTACTGTCACTATGGAAAAGTACACATAGAAACTAACTGCCAGACAGCACAACCTACAGCAACCAACCACAGCGACCTCTCTAAATGTACAGTATCAGACCTGCTCGGTTTACATCTACGTCTGCAGCAGAAGGAGCATTTGAGCTGCCATGGTTAGTTGTGTGGATGTCCAACAGAAGGCAATGTACTGGACACCCACTGATTTGTCTTTGCAACAAAGCTGGTAAAGATGAGTAAGACAATATAGAGCTCTAGTAGCTGTGATAAGGCTTTCGGAGAGTTCAGGTGAGGGATGACTTCAGACAGACAGGTGAATGGAAAAGGTTGAAGATGAACATTCTGACCAAATCAACGGCTACCTGGTAAAGGTGGATGTAAAGCACAAAATGTGGTCGATGGTTAAAAACTAGACTGACTGTAGCGCTACAGTCTATACTTGTTGGAATTCTACAGACAACATAGAGGTAATCTAAAATCAAGTCAGTTTACATCAAGTGATGGTTGAATGGTCCTAGCATTTCCCAGAGGCAAAATAAACTCCAAAAGGTGTGCCCTTGTTCAAACAAATAATGCATGTGTAAGGTATTGGGAGTAATGGTAGTGTTGGCTTGCAGTACTATCGTTGTAAATGTAATTCAAGAAAATAAAGAAACAAAATAGTGTAGAGTCTCAGTAAATAACAGAAGAGGAAAGTCAAGAGCAGATGACCGGTAATGAAGATGTGTGGACCAATCACTTTAGTCTCTGACAGCTGTGTCAGTGAGATAAATACAGCCATGGTGTCAATGGTATGAAAACAGATGAACAAGTTCTCTACTGATGATACCAACACAACTATGAGGGGCAGTGCCTGAATTAGATGCCACAGGCCAGGGTGAGTCCGCTTTGGAGATAATACTGCAGCCATGGCAAAGGATTTTACAGTTCCATATGGTAAATGCTACTCCAAAGTGCTTTCAGCAATATCCCTCCTCTTTAGAGGAAGTACATTCACAAGATTAATGTACAATACACATAAGCTACAGTTCCCTCAATAACTCTTCATATCCACTATAAAAATTTGCTGACAAAACAAAGTGCAAGTAAAATCAGTTGAAACGCACACCTTGCCTATTCTTGCCCTCTGTAAATCAGAACTAATCAGATGAATCAGGTACTATTTTCATCACATAAGAATAAACCTGTAAACGGAGTCTTGTAGCAAAGTATGGTCTTTATGAATAGATATTATCAAGTACAGTGAGGGAAAAAAGTATTTGATCCCCTGCTGATTTTGTACGTTTGCCCACTGACAAAGAAATGATCAGTCTACAATTTTAAATGGTAGGTTTATTTGAACAGTGAGAGACAGAATAACAACAAAAACATCCAGAAAAACGCATGTCAAAAATGTTATAAATTGATTTGCATTTTAATGAGGGAAATAAGTATTTGACCCCCTCTCAATCAGAAAGATTTCTGGCTCCCAGGTGTCTTTTATACAGGTAACGAGCTGAGATTAGGAGCACACTCTTAAAGGGAGTGCTCCTAATCTCATCTTGTTACCTGTTTAAAAGACACCTGTCCACAGAAGCAATCAATCAATCAGATTCCAAACTCTCCACCATGGCCAAGACCAAAGAGCTCTCCAAGGATGTCAGGGACAAGATTGTAGACCTACACAAGGCTGGAATGGGCTACACGACCATTGCCAAGCAGCTTGGTGAGATGGTGACAACAGTTGGTGCGATTATTCGCAAATGGAAGAAACACAAAATAACTGTCAATCTCCCTCGGCCTGGGGCTCCATGCAAGATCTCACCTCGTGGAGTTGCAATGATCATGAGAACGGTGAGGAATCAGCCCAGAACTACACGGGAGGATCTTGTCAATGATCTCAAGGCAGCTGGGACCATAGTCACCAAGAAAACAATTGGTAACACACTACGCCGTGAAGGACTGAAATCCTGCAGCGCCCGCAAGGTCCCCCTGCTCAAGAAAGCACATATACAGGGCCGTCTGAAGTTTGCCAATGAACATCTGAATGATTCAGAGGAGACCTGGGTGAAAGTGTTGTGGTCAGATGAGACCAAAATCGAGCTCTTTGGCATCAACTCAACTCGCCATGTTTGGAGGAGGTGGAATGCTGCCTATGATCCCAAGAACACCATCCCCACCATCAAACATGGAGGTGGAAACATTATGCTTTGGGGGTGTTTTTCTGCTAAGGGGACAGGACAACTTCACCGCATCAAAGGGACGATGGACGGGGCCATTTACCGTCAAATCTTGGGTGAGAACCTCCTTCCCTCAGCCAGGGCATTGAAAATGGGTCGTGGATGGGTATTCCAGCATGACAATGACCCAAAACACACGGCCAAGGCAACAAAGGAGTGGCTCAAGAAGAAGCACATTAAGGTCCTGGAGTGGCCTTAATGTGACTTGGAGAAGATCTGCAAAGAGGAGTGGGACAAAATCCCTCCTGAGATGTGTGCAAACCTGGTGGCCAACTACAAGAAACGTCTGACCTCTGATTGCCAACAAGGGTTTTGCCACCAAGTACTAAGTCATGTTTTGCAGAGGGGTCAAATACTTATTTCCCTCATTAAATTGCAAATCAATTTATAACATTTTTGACGTGTTTTTCTGAATTGTTTTGTTGTTATTCTGTCTCTCACTGTTCAAATAAACCTACCAATAAAATTATAGACTGATCATGTCTTTGTCAGTGGGCAAACGTACAAAATCAGCAGGGGATCAAATACTTTTCCCCCCTCACTGTACCTGTATTGTAATCAGAAATGGTTCTGTACAGAAACTTGGGGTTGAAATACTACACCATTCTGCACTCTCTCTACACCACCCCTATACGACCATCACGTCCTCTACCAAGTGGAGTCTTCAGCATTGGTTCTTACTAATAACTTAGATACACAAACTATGGAAGTCTGTTCGGGTTGTTGCGTGTCAAAAAGATACACGTTAAATAACACTATTTGACCCGTCAAATAACACGACCCAAACGGCCTTCCATAACAAACACACCTCCAGGTCAATTGCAAAGTAAAAACAAAAGCCACACGATTCCCAAAAAATAAATAAGCAATATATAAATCACATACTTACAAAGCTTTACAAAATTAAATATCTCCAATTGTACTGTCAACATTTAAATTTAAAAAAAGGGGAGAATCCTTTTTCCTAATAAATAATTACAAAGCGATAGCACGTGTTTAGCATGCCATCATAAGCGACGTGAACACATTTCTCTTCTATCTAATGGTGATCTTGGCTTTGGGCCCCACACCCAACTCCTCTGTTCTGTTTGGTCATTAGCCCATCTAGCAGCCCATGAGAAGGACAGAGGTAACAGGACATTAGGACAGCCGTGGTCTCCTGCTTAGTCTGAGGCGCAGTGCATTACGTGTTGAAGGCAACACTACAGGTAGCAGGAGGAGTAGAAAGTCAGCTTTCAATCAGAGGACAGTGTTCCAGTGTCACCACGGTTACCGGGCTCATAGGAGAAACCCCCCTGGAACGGAAGAAAAACAAAAACACATTCAGGTTTCCAAACAAAGAGTTAAACATTTAGCACTTCGTGATTTGGATATACATAGTAAATGCCCCACTAACATCATTGTTATTAAAGAATGTTACAATAATGTACAAAAAATTAATGCTGGATTAAAAAATATATTTTTTATTTTATTTTGTTTTACAAAGACCAGAAGAGGTGGTGCTGTCATGTATAATGTAACAGAGAACCACTGACCATGTGTAGTCAGTCTGTCTCCTGGTTGTGTCACCTGTTGTCTCTTCTGCTCCCAGGAGGGCCTTTGAATGACTTGTTCTGGGGAGGAATGCGCGCACACAAAACACACAGATTCCCAGTGAAAGGAAAATGTAACAGTGAAAGTAGATCAGTGTACTGTACAATACTCGCAGTGACTAAGTGCTGGAGAAATCCAATCCCAATGTTCATTCCCTTCTGGTTTTCTAGGACTGTGTACAGTGCCTTCAGAAAGTATTCACACCTTTTACTTTTTCTACATTTTGTTGTATTACAGACTGAATTTAAAATGGATTGAGATTTTATGTCACTGGCCTACACACAATAACCCATAATGTCAACGTGGAATTATGTTAAAATGTTTTACCAATTAACTTAAAAAATGAAAAGCTGAAATGTCTTGAGTCAATAAGTATTAAACCCCTTTGTTATGGCAAGCCTAAATAAGTTCAGGAGTAAAAATGTGCTTAACAAGTCCCATAATAAGTTGCACGGACTCACTGTGTGCAATAATAGTGTTTAACATGATTTTTGAATAACTACCTCATCTCTGTACCCCACACATACAATTATCTGTAAGGTCCCTCAGTCGAGCAGTGAATTTCAAACGCAGACTCAACCACTAAGAACAGGGAGGTTTTCCAATGCCTTGCAAAGAAGGGCACCTATTTGTAGACGGGTAAAAAAATAAAATAAAGCAGACATTGAATATCTCTGAATATGGTGAAGTTATTAATTACACTATGGATGGTGTATCAATATACCCAGTCACTACAAAGATACAGGCGTCCTTCCTAACTCAGTTGCCGGAGATGAAGGAAACCGCTCAGGGATTTCCCCATGAGGCCAATGGTGACTATAAAATAGTTAAGAGTTTAATGGCTGTGATAGGAGAAAACAGAGGATGGATCAACAACATTGTAGTTACTCCACAATACTAACCAAATTGACAGAGTGAAAAGGAAGCCTGTACAGAATAAAAATATTCCAAAACATGCATCCTGTATGCAACAAGGCACTAAAGTAACGCTGCAAAATAATTTGGCCAAATACAATACAACACATTACTGAGTGCCACTCACCATATTTTCACGCATAGTGGTGACTGCATCATGTTATGGGTATGCTTGTATTTGTTAAGCACTGGGGAGTTTTTCAGGATAAAAATAAACGGAATGGAGCTAAGCACAAAAAATCGTAGAGGAAAACCTGGTTCAGTCTGCTTTCCACCAGACACTGGGAGATGAATTCACCATTCAGCAGGACAATAATTGTTCTTTTATATAACCCTTATTTTACCAGGTAAGTTGACTCAGAACACATTCTAATTTACAGCAACGACCTGGGGAATAGTTACAGGGGAGAAGAGGGGGAATGAATGAGCCAATTGGAAGCTGGGGATGATTAGGTGGCCATGATGGTATGAAGGCCAGATTGGGAATAACCTAAAAGAGAAGGCCAAATCTACACTGGAGTTGCTTACCAGGAAGACAGTTAATGTTCCTGAGTGGCCGAGTTACAGTTTTGATTTAAATCTACTTGAAAATCTATGGCAAGACCTGAAAATTATCAACAGAGCTTGAAGAATTTTGAAAAGAATAATGGGCAAATGATGCACAATCCAGGTGTGGAAAGCTCTTAGAGACTTACCCAGAAATACTTACAGCTGTAATCACTGTCAGAGGTGCTTCTACAAAGTATTGACTCAGAATGCTTACATAAATGAGATATTTCTGTATTTAATTTTCAATAAAATGTGCAAAGATTTCTAAAAACATGTTTACACTATGGTTTATTGTGTGTGTATATATATATATATATATATATATATATATATATATATATATATATATATATATATATATATATATATATATATATATATACATACATACATATATATATATATATATATACACATACATACATATATATATACACACACACACACACACACACACAGTGGGGAGAACAAGTATTTGATACACTGCCGATTTTGCAGGTTTTCCTACTTACAAAGCATGTAGAGGTCTGTAATTTTCATCATAGGTACACTTCAACTGTGAGAGACGGAATCGAAAACAAAAATCCAGAGAATCACATTGTATGATTTTTAAGTAATTAATTTGCATTTTATTGCATGACATAAGTATTTGATCACCTACCAACCAGTAAGAATTCCGGCTCTCACAGACCTGTTAGTTTTTCTTTAAGAAGCCCTCCTGTTCTCCACTCATTACCTGTATTAACTGCACCTGTTTGAACTCGTTACCTGTATAAAAGACATCTGTCCACACACTCAAACAGACTCCAACCTCTCCACAATGGCCAAGGCCAGAGAGCTGTGTAAGGACATCAGGGATAAAATTGTAGACCTGCACAAGGCTGGGATGGGCTACAGGACAATAGGCAAGCAGCTTGGTGAGAAGGCAACAACTGTTGGCGCAATTATTAGAAAATGGAAGAAGTTCAAGATGACGGTCAATCAAGGGCTCCATGCAAGATCTCACCTCGTGGGGCATCAATGATCATGAGGAAGGTGAGGGATCAGCCCAGAACTACACGGCAGGACCTGGTCAATGACCTGAAGAGAGCTGGGACCACAGTCTCAAAGAAAAACATTAGTAACACACTACGCCGTCATGGATTAAAATCCTGCAGCGCACGCAAGGTCCCCCTGCTCAAGCCAGCACATGTCCAGGCCCGTCTGAAGTTTGCCAATGACCATCTGGATGATCCAGAGGAGGAATGGGAGAAGGTCATGTGGTCTGATGAGACAAAAATATAGCTTTTTGGTCTAAACGCCACTCGCCGTGTTTGGAGGAAGAAGAAGGATGAGTACAACCCCAAGAACAGTATCCCAACCATGAAGCATGGAGGTGGAAACGTCATTCTTTGGGGATGCTTTTCTGCAAAGGGGGCAGGACGACTGCACCGTATTGAGGGGAGGGCCAGGTATCGCGAGATCTTGGCCAACAACCTCCTTCCCTCAGTAAGAGCATTGAAGATGGGTCATGGCTGGGTCTTCCAGCATGACAACGATCCGAAACACACAGCCAGGGCAACTAAGGAGTGGCTCCGTAAGAAGCATCTCAAGGTCCTGGAGTGGCCTAGCCAGTCTCCAGACCTGAACCCAATAGAACATCTTTGGAGGGAGCTGAAAGTCCGTATTGCCCAGCAACAGCCCCGAAACCTGAAGGATCTGGAGAAGGTCTGTATGGAGGAGTGGGCCAAAATCCCTGCTGCAGTGTGTGCAAACCTGGTCAAGACCTACAGGAAACGTATGATCTCTGTAATTGCAAACAAAGGTTTCTGTACCAAATATTAAGTTCTACTTTTCTGATGTATCAAATACTTATGTCATGCAATAAAATGCAAATTAATTACTTAAAAATCATACAATGTGATTTTCTGGATATTTCAGGCTGTAAAAACAAAATGTGGAAGAGGTCAAGGGGTATGAATACTTTCTGAAGGCACCGTATATCATACTGTAGGGCCATACTTCATATTAGCGATGCACAGTAAATCATAAAATGGAGGATTGTTAAACTGTTGGCTTCATGCCAGCCTCAACTCTTCCACAAAGACAACATTTGTCCAATAGAGTGAGACTAAAAACACAGCCACTGAGTGACAGAGATAGGCTTAGTAAGGATCAAACCTAGCAGTCACTTCAATTAATCAACCATCCATACCTTGTGCTTGGTGCATTTCATGGAGAAGTTATCTTCATTGAGGACACAGTCTGTGGGGAGAAGAATGCTTGGATCAATAAAAGACAGTGATTCATCAGATGGCTCAATAGCCAACAGCAGTCGAAACCAGCCTCCACAAACACCAACAGGCTACAGATAGGGATAGGTTGTAACAGAGAGCGCCTGCAACACACAACTATTTAAAGAACACACACAGGGTACGTCCGTGGAGCTGGGGTGGCATTACCGTTATTGAACCACAGTACGAGGCCTAACCTTAAACACCACTCTACCAAACTTAGACTGTGGCACAACATGGCATTCGGCACACAAAATAGACAATCAGGGAACAAGGCTGGATGTCTGTTTTAATAAGATACATATATAAAGCAACATGATAAGTCAAGATAAAATCACGTCTCAGAACCGATTACGAACATTAGTCATCAGTCACTGAGGTGGCTCAAACTTCTGGGCTGACTGCTACCAAGTTCAATATGAAAGCCTTGGCATGGGGGGGTTTTCATTAGTGCACACCGTAGCAAAACGTTTTGCAACGGAAAAACTAAAACAAGCGTTTCTTATTGGACAAATTCAAGTAGGCCCCTCCCCATTTCAGCCCGTTTGCTTCCCGGTGAATACACCCGTTGTCTCGGCTGCAAGAATAGACTAGACTGGGTCATGTTTACTATGAGGACTCGGTAGCTGGTGACGGGCTGGAGAACTAATAGGTGTATTTATTATGGATCCCCATTAGCTGCTGCCAAGGCAGTAGCTACTCTTCCTGGGGTCGGGCAAAATTAAGGCAGTTACACAAAAAAAAAAAAAACATTACAATACATTCATAACAGATTCCACAACATATTAAGTGTGTGCCCTCAAGTCTCTACTCTCCTACCACATATATAACACAAAATCCATGTGTGTATAGTGCGTATGTTATCGTGTGTTCGTATGCATGTGTCTATGTTTGTGTTGCATCACAGTCCCTGCTGTTCCATAAGGTGTATTTTTATGTAGTTTTTTTTTTTTAATCTAAATTTTACTGCTGTTGACACAGCAGGAAGTGACGATACATACCATCCTGCATTAGAATCATGGCAGACTTATGGGAGGACCCAGTACACTTCCTAGTCCTGGACGCCTGGTTGAGATGCTTCCAAATGTATCCTTCCCTCCTCCCTTCTTCCGCATAAATATTGCAACTGGGCCCATTACTAAGCAGAAGTAGAAGGGTCCCAGCTAGGGACAGGGCAGAGGGGGAGACTCACCTGACTGTAGAGAACACCTGTAGTGATACTTGTTGGGGCATCCTTTGAAGAAGCAGCCCAACGTGGCACCTGGGATATCGCAGCGAGAACACGTCTGAAAACATGAAATATAATTAATTGGTTGGGTGTTACAGACCAAGACCAAAAGACAAGATGCTATAATATTTTACATTGCTAAACAGAACTCTAGTACTATTACATACACCACCGGTCAAAGGTTTTAGAACACCTACTCATTCAAGGGTTTTTCTTTATTTTTTAAAATGTTCTACATTGTAGAATAATAGAGAAGAAATCAAAACTATGAAATAACACATATGGAATCATATAGTAACCAAAAAAGTGTTAAACAAATCAAATAATATTTTATATTTGAGATTCTTCAAATAGCCACCCTTTGCCTTGATGACAACTTTGCACACTCTTGGCATCCTCTCAACCAGCTTCATGAGGTAGTCACCTGGAATGATTTTCAATTAACAGTTGTTAATTTGTGGAATTTCTGTCCTTCTTAATGCGTTTGAGACAATCAGTTGTGTTGTGACAAGGTGTGTGTGTGTGGGGGGGGGGGGGGTTTCAATTAACAGACATCTCAACATCAACTGTTCAGAGGAGACTGTGTGAATCAGGCCTTCATGGTCGAAATGCTGCAAAGAAACCACTACTAAAGGACACCAATAAGAAGAGACCTGCTTGGGCCAAGAAACACGAGCAATGGACATTAGACTGGTGGAAATGTGTCCTTTGGTCTGTAGTCCAAATTTGAGATTTTTGGTTCCAACCGCCATGTCTTTGTGAGAGGCGGTGTGGGTGAACGGATGATCTCTGCATGTGTATTTCCCAATGTAAAGCATGGAGGAGGTGGTTTTGTGGTGTGGGGGTGCTTTGCTGGTGACACTGTCTGGGATTTATTTAGAATTCAAGGCACACTTGACCAGCTTGGCTATCACAGCGATACGCCATCCCATCTGGTTTGGGCTTAGTGGGACTATCATTTGTTTTTCATTTACATTATCCAGAGTGACTTACAGTTAGTGAGTGCATACATTATTTTAATTTTATTTTTCATACTGGCCCCCCGTGGGAATCGAACCCACAACCCTGGCGCTGCAAACGCCATGCTCTACCAACTGAGCTACATCCCTGCCGGCCATTCCCTCCCCTACACTGGACGACGCTGGGCCAATTGTGCGCCGCCCCATGGGTCTCCCGGTCGCGGCCGGCTACAACAGAGCCTGGATTCGAACCAGGATCTCTAGTGGCACAGCTAGCACGATGCAGTGCCTTAGACCACTGCACCACTCGGGACAATGACCCAAAACACACTTACACGCGGTGTAAGGGCTATTTGACCAAGGAGAGTGATGGAGTGCTGCATCAGATGACCTGGCCTCCACAAATCACCCGACCTCAACCCAATTGAGATGATTTGGGATGAGTTGGACCATAGAGTGATGGAAAAGCAGCCAACAAGTGCTCAGTATATGTGGGAACTCCTTCAAGATTGTTGGAAAAGCATTCCTCATGAAGCTGGTTGAGAGAATGCCAAGAGTGTGCAAAGCTGTCATCAAGGTAAATGGTGGCTACTTTGAAGATATCAATATTTTTATTTGTTTAACACTTTTTTGGTTACTACATGATTCCACATGTGTTTTTCATAGTTTGGATGTCTTCACTATTATTCTACAATGTAGAAAATAGTTTAAAAAAAAAGAAAACTTCAATAAGTAGGTGTTCTAAAACTTTTGACCAGTAGTGTACTTCTACAAAAACATGAGAAATCTCAAATTGTAAAAAGATGGCTAAAACAACAGACATAGTCCCTATGGGAGGTAAAGAACACTACATACAGTGCATTCAGAAAGTATTCAGAAAGTATTCAGAAAGTATTCAGAAAGTATTCAGAAAGTATTCAGACCCCTTGACTTTTTCCACATTTTATTACATTACAGCCTTATTCTAAAATGGATAAAAAACAAAAAAAAATAAATAACAGAAATACCTTAATTTTAAATAATTATTCAGACCTTTTGCTATGAGACTCAAAATTGAGCTCAGTTGCATCCTGTTTCCATTGATCATCTTTTGAGATGTTTCCACAATTTGATTGGAGTCCACCTGTGGTAAATTAAATTGGACATGATTTGATAAAGGCACACACCTGTCTATATAAGGTGCCATGATTGACAGTGCATGTCAGAGCAAAAACCAAGCCATGAGGTCGAAGGAATTGTCCGTAGAATTCCGAGACAGGATTGTGTCGAGGCATAGATCTGGGGATGGGTACCAAAAAATGTCTGCAGCATTGAAGGCCCTAAAGAACACAGTGGCCTCTATCATTTTTAAATGGAATAAGTTTGGAACCACCAAGACTCTTCCTAGAGCTGGCCGCCCGGCCAAACTGAGCAATCGGAGGTGAAGGGCCTTGGTCAGGGAGGTGACCAAGAACCCGATGGTCACTCTGACAGCTCTAGAGTTCCTCTGTGGCGATGGGAGAACCTTCCAGAAAAATAACAATCTCTGCAGCACTCCACCAATCAGGACTTTATGTTAGAGTGGCCAGACGGAAGACAATTCACAGTAAAAAGGCACATGACAGCCCGCTTGGATTTTGCCAAAAGGCACCTAAAGGACTCTCAGACCATGAGAAACAAGATTCTCTGGTCTGATGAAACCAAGATTGAACTCTTTGACCTGAATGCCAAGCGTCACGTCTGGAGGAAACCTGGCACCATCCCTACAGTGAAGCATGGTGGTAGCAGCATCATGCTGTGGGGATGTTTTTCAGCGGCAGGGACTGGGAGACTAGTCAGGATTGAGGGAAAGATGAACGGAGCAAAGTACAGAGAGATCCTTGATGAAAACCTGCTCCAGAGCGCTCAGGACCTCAGACTGGGGTGAAGGTTCACCTTCCAACAAGACAATGACCATAAGCACACAGCCAAGACAACGCAGGAGTGGCTTCGGGACAAGTCTCTGAATGTCCTTGGGTGGCCCAGTCAGAGCCTGGACTTGAACCCGATCGAACATCTCTGGAGAGACCTGAAAATAGCTGTGCAGCGATGCTCACTATCCAACCTGACAGAGCTTGAGAGGATCTGCAGAGAAGAATGGGAGAAACTCCCCAAATAAAGGTGTGCCAAGCTTGTAGCGTCATACCCAAGAAGACTCTAGGCTGTAATCGCTGCCAAGGGTGCTTCAACAAAGTACTGAGTAAAGGGTCTGAGTACTTATGTAAATGTGATATTTCCGGGGTTTTTAAAAAACAACTAAATTTGCAAAAATGTCTAAAAACCTGTTTTTGGTTTCTCATTATTTGGTATTGTGTGTAGATTGATGAGGGGGGAAAAAACAATTTAATCAATTTTAGAATAAGGCTGTAACGTAACAAAATGTGGAGAAAGTCAAGGGGTCTAAATACTTTCCAAATGCACTGTATACTCCCCAATCATAATTCAATAGACTCATTTAAACATACAGAGGCACATTTCTGGGCTGCAGAATTTAAACTTACCGTCTCCTGAGCCACCTTGACCGCCTCTTCCAGACCGTAGACCCTCCCCTTCACCAGGAACACACCTGCAGACCAGATGCTACAGTCCTCGTGGAGCCAGTACTCACACTGGTCTAGAGGCACCACAGGGGCGCTGTACCAGTCCTCTACTGCAGCCGCAGCCTCAGATGTAACCCCAGCCCCAGTCCCAGCCTCAATCCTGGCCCTCTTTGCTGCAGGGCTGCCTGAAGGGTCACTGGTCCACCTCCCCAGCAGGCCATCCTGGTTCAGCCGCGGGCCAGGTTTGTGGGGCCAGGGGACCCCTGGGGGCCGAGCACACTTTCTGCCCTGGCCTCTCATGCTGCAGGAGGAGTCAGAGTCACTGAAATCCTCCTCCTCTTCTTTGAGGCCTGGGGTGCTAACAGGGGGTTTAGTGCTGGGTCTGTATCCTTCAGGGTAGTAGGGGCCGTGGAGGTCCCCCAGGTCCATGGCATTAGCCGAGCCTCTACAGAGGCAGCAGACCAGGGAGCTGTGGTATTGGCTGTGGGTGGAGATGCGGCCCAGGTGGAGACAGGAGGTGGAGGGTATAGCCCCAGGGATGAAACCCCCAGACCCTGAGCCTCCAGCCTGCTGTTGCCCCTGACCCTTCTTCTGCCTGGGCTTCTCCTCCTCTGGGTAGTTGATGACAGTACAGTTGGCGGGGGAGGTGGAGGAGGGCTTAAGGTCCATATGGATGAAAGGAGAGAACGTGTCCCTCCTAATATCCCTCTTCTCCTCCTTGTAGTTGACGTATTTCAGTTTTATTTCAGGCTCCTGAGGGGAAAACATAGAGGAAAACTGGCCCAGTCTAGGTTTCTTCCGTTTCTTCTTGGGAGCAGGGGTTGCCTTCATGGTTTTGGCTGTGGGAGAAGCTGCTTCGCTGCATGTAGTCTTAGCTTTATGCTTCCCGTGGCTTTTTGGAGATGTTTTAAGTGGCCGTGATACAGTCAGTACATCCACCTCGGAGGGCTCAGGGTCTGACTCTCTGTGTTCCGACTCCTTCTCTGAATCTTTGACTGGAACAAAGGGCGGGCTGGAGGTTTTTGGAGATGTGCTGTGGTTGTGTGGGTATTTGGAAAAACAGGTGTGTTCAGAATCTGACGTTGACTCTTTACAACTGTCTGTGTTCCTGTTAATGCTATCCATACAGCCTTTCGTTGCGTCTGGCTTTACTCTGGCTGCCTTTACTTTAGTCTCTCCCTCTGAACTAGATGCTGCTTTATTCTGGACTTTCTTCTTCCCTACAGATGAGGTATGTTTGTTAGGACTAACATTGGCTTTAGATGGACTGCTCTGAGTCTGGGGATTTGTCGGAGGCTGGGTCTGGGTCTTTGAGGCCTTGGGCTTCTTAGTGGATACTTTATACCAGTTAGGGTTTATGTTCATCACTATGGCCTCTAACCTAGTTCCCCTGCCAGAGCGAGGGGGAAGTTTTTTCTTCTCAAAAGTCCTCTGCTCTGCCTTTGCATTACCATTCAAGTGAGAAGCAGCCGTCTCCTTGGGTTTCTTTTCTAAAATCTCTGGCACAGTGCTCTCGTCTTCTGTCAAGTCAACAATAGACTCTGAAGCTGCCTTGGGTTTATGTCCTGACTGCTGGTAGTCCTTGCTGGTATCTAACATTGGTGTATTATCACCATTAGACCTTATCCCCTGTACTGCAGACAGCCCAGGCCCACCTCTCTCCAGCTCATCCAAGCTGGTATCAGCTGTCTCGTCTGCTAAATAATTTTCAAAGCTGGGTGTGCAGGAGGCCTGAGGCAGAATGAACACATCCTCTACGTCATCCAGTGTGGTAACAGAGGGAGAGACTGGGTCCTCCAGAGGACTGATATACTCCCTACTATGAGAACACAGGTCCCTGTTGTCCTGGATCAGGACTGGCTCCTCCGTTCTGGATGAGATGAGAAAGAGAACCTCTGAGTCAGCCCTCCTCCGTCCTTCCTCCTCCTCCTCCTCCTCCATGTCTGTAATGAGAGGCTCTGGAGAGGAATCGATACATATTGCAGAATTAGACCAGCTGCTGCTACTCCTGCCATTCTGCAGTCCTGCATTGTGGTCTGCGTCCTGAGAAAGACTGTGATCCATTGAACTCCCTCTCTGTTGAGGCTTGTATTTCTCTACTCCTCCATTACTGGCGACTCGACTGCTGTTGATTTCATGAGCCTGTTGCATCAGACACACCCCTGCTACATTCTCACCCACCACCTGAGCTCGAGGCATAGAGTCAAACATTTCAGACTGAGGCACTAAGCCCATAGGCCTATCCATCTGCTGCAGGTAGCCATCCATGGTTGAGAACTTGCTGATCGACGGTACACAGTAGAGAGAGGAATGCTGAGAGAGAGAGTCATGAGCGGAAAAAACATGAGACCGGCTTACATAGGAGAGTGTGACTGTAGTGTTGGAGAAGGCATTGTCCGGCTGGATCTGGTCTCCTGGTTGAAGCCTGTGGTCGGGGTCAGTTTCTGGGAAGGAGAGTCCCTTGCTGGATCCAGAGCCTGGGTACCAGCTTGGAGGCTTGACCACCTGTAGGGGCTCCATGGAGTTGGCTTTTACGAGGCAATCCTCACCTTTTCTGGTCAGGTCTATCGCAGCAGGGAGGCTACGGGTGGAGGAGAGGTCTTGGGGCTGTAAATCATCGGAATCCCCCGGTGGTTGCTCCATAGCAACTGAAATTGAGCAGAAATGCAGAAAGGTTAGATAAATACATGGCATTGAAACTATTTTTGCTGACCTCAGTGGGAACATGACTGGATATAGGACAAGATTGGGTTCCATCTAGCCTGGAAATCTGACACTGAATTCTACGTTCAGCATAAATGAGCCTTTGGATTAAGAAAGTTTCCTCTCACGACCTCTACAAGCCAGAATGTTAAAGAAAATGATATTTTAACTTAATTTACCGGTTGTCCATGCGGTTGGTCCTTTGCGGGTAGGAATAGGAGACAAAATATCCACAGTAAAGTATAATTACATCAAATTTTCAAAGCCCTGGTAGTGCATTCAAATATCTATAATACATGCACGAGACACGTGCATACTTGCCGACCTCATCGACCTCATGCACATGTTTACATGGTTCAGGTGATATACATCTGAAGGCACTACCAGCACTTTGAAAAGTTGATGTAATTACACTTTCCTGTGGATATATTGTTTCACATTCCTACCTGCAAAAGGAACAATCTCACAGACAACCGATAAAGTAAATTAAAATATCATGTTAATCAACGTTCTGGCTTGTAGAGGTAATGAGAGGAAACTTTCCTGATCCAAACCCTCATTTATGGCCGAAGTTGAATCCAATGCAATTCAACGTCGGGTCTCCAGGCTAGGTTCCATCATCATGAAGCACATTTGCCAGCAGTGGGATTGCATTTTTATCTTTCTAGATAGCCAACGGTACGTTAGCTACAGAGTAACTTATCGACAACAAGTAACACTAGCTATAACAAATAGATATAATTTGATAATTTGCTAACTAGAAAGCTAAATGTGCCCATCTTCGGTAAATTATCCAAAGTGCAAACTTTCAGTGTGCAACATTACAACATAGAAGTCAGACCTAAAACCTAAAGGTTAGCTAACGTTTTCGTTGGCTGTTAGTGTTCACTCCGTTTCCCGTTAATACTGTTGGAAGTAATGCAGCTAGAGTTCAGCTAGAATGTTGCAGAATCGTGTAAGTTAGTGTCGCGCGGGTTATGCTATTGACTAAATAATGAACAACCAAATTGCAACAATGTAGCGCGTTAGCACTAGCGTGTAGTTAGCAAGCTGACTTGGAAAAAGTGGTCAACTCAGAAAAGTGTTTGCTGGAAATGCACTAAAATAAGAGTGTTAAGAAGAGAAAGTAGCAAAAGTTGAGAACTGGCTTCTAACCTCTTTGCCTTCTCACAAACGAATAGAACGTACATTTATGTTTAGCTAGCTAGCTAGCTAGCTAACTAAACTTGCCGTAACTGGAATGACAGCTGACAGGCGCGAGCTATTAGTACTGTATTACCTACATTTGTGTGTATTCAGTCAAATGTGAAGGATGAACCGTGCCACTACAATTACAGCTAGCTAGCTACCTCGCTAGTTATTACATTAACCATACATGATACGTTCACTTAGTAACAGGATAAGTGCTGTTTTGGTTATCTAATGTAGCCAGTTCGCGATGTGCTACGCTAACGTTAGATAGCTAGCAAACAACTTAGCCGCTTACCACAAACGGCACTTATCCCGATAGCTAATGCTCTGCCCTGGATCATGACAAGTTAATTTGTAACTGATATGGCAACGTTAGCTTATTGGGAAATAATGGGTGGATGGCTGGTGGCTATCATAATAAAAGACTTGACAATTTGCTGGTGATAGTGCCACTCAGCGTTGGGGCTCGATCTCCCCGCACATCACGGCGGAGTGATGCATCTAGCTAGCTAACTACCCTCGTTGACTTATTCATGGTAGCTTGCTAAGCTAACTTGCTAGGCCCTTCATATGAAACAAAAGAGCGAGCATACTGCGCTGCCGGAGACTGAAACTTACCCAAACGGGAAGGAGTGGGGGGCTTTAGAAACGTCAAATTCAACAGTGAGTCCCACCCAACATCTCGTCAAGACCCCATCTGCTAGTACCCTAAAACGCCAAACTATATGTTTGAAAAATTCCACATTTGTATTAGTACATTTGTAAACGGGTTAAAAAAATTCAATAAAAATCCCTGGTTGTAGATACTTTCATGGACCCACTTCTCTCTCCGCGCGTGAGCTGCACTTCAAGAACAGCACTTGTCAGCTGGCGATCACAGTGAAGCATTATGGGAAGGTAGGAAAGCGGGCAGCGTTCAAGACATTTAATGTTGTGTGGCGTTTGACTGGAGTGATTACTGAGCTCTTCAGTAAGGCCATTCTACTGCCAATGTTTGTCTATGGAGATTGCATGACGGTGTGCTCGATTTTATACACCTGTCAGCAACGGGTGTGGCTGAAATAGCCGATCCACTAATTTGAAGGGGTGTCCACATACTTTTGTATATACACTCCAGACGTGACGCTTGGCATTCAGGCCAAAGAGTTCAATCTTGGTTTCATCAGACCAGAGAATCTTGTTTCTCATGGTCAGAGTCTTTAGGTGCCTTTTGGCAAATTTCAAGCGGGCTGTCATGTGCCTTTTACTGAGGAGTGCCTTCGGTCTGGCCACTCTACCATAAAGGGCTGATTTGTGGAGTGCTGCAGAGATGGTTGTCCTTCCGGGAGGTTCTCCCATCGCCACAGAGGAACTCTGGAGCTCTGTCAGAGTGACCATCGGGTTCTTGGTCACCTCCCTGACCAAGGCCCTTCTCCCCCGATTGCTCAGTTTGACCGGGCAGCCAGCTCTAGGAATAGTCTTGGTAGTTCCAAACTTCTACCATTTAAGAATGATGGAGGCCACTGTGTTCTTGGGGACCTGAATGCTGCCTCGACACAATCCTGTCTCAGAGCTCTACGGACAATTCCTTCGGCCTCATGACTTGTTTTTTGCTCTGACATGCACTGTCAACTGTGGGACCTTATATAGACAGGTGTGTGCCTTTCCAAATCATGTCCAATCAATTGAATTTACCACAGGTTGACACCAATCAAGTTGTAGAAACATCTCAAGGATGATCAATGGAAACAGGATGCACCTGAGCTCAATTTTGAGTCTCATGGCAAAGGGTCTGAATACTTATGTAAATAAGGTATTTCTGTTTTATTTTTATACATTTGCAAACATTTCTAAAAACCTGTTTTCACTTTGTCATTATGGGGTATTGTGTGTAGATTAATGAGGGAAAATATAAATGTAATCCATTTTAGAATAAGGCTGTAATGTAACAAAATGTGGAAAAAGTCAAGGGGTCTGAATACTTTCCGAATGCACTGTATAGTGTAAGTTATTGATAGGAAACCTACACTATGAAATGACTGCAGTCCTCTCACATCTGAACTGTGCAAATAAGTCTAGATGATCAATGTAATTTAACTACATAATAATAATAATAATAATAATAATAATACATAACGCTGGTTAGTTTAATCAGTTTGGAAAATGATTAATACAGTGTAGTAGATGAAAACAACACTTAAATGAAAGACAGGGTGCAAAAATATTTATTGCTAATAAACCTGTTGTCAGTTGGTGTACATTGGCTGTATATTTACAATAGTAGAGTACAGAGGGAATGGCATGTGAGACAGTAATCCAAAAACACTTAAATAAATACAAAGAGATTGCCACTGAACAAGACTACAGACATAACCGACTCCAACAACTCCTCCTCCCATACAGCTGGACCAATAAGATTAGAGAGAAGGAAAAAACTATATCAATGTATATATTTATATTATAATCAGAAAATCCCATCCATAATGTATTTATTCAGCAGTCACTTTCCAGGGGTAATTTTAAAATGGTCCTGTTTCAGAAAACATATTCTATTATGTTAATAATCATCATATACAAGCCAACAACTCAGACAATGGAGGAGCATCATCCAACGTAGCAGATAGTTTACTTGTACAATGATGCAGGCAAACATTTTCTTTCCATAGCTGTTTATTGAGCCAGACAGTAATCTGTGCTGAAATAAGGGGGTGAAAGGAAGAGTTAACATGTGCATACTGACCTCACCTAGCATAATACACAGGCCTGAAGGCAAGGTTGTTCCTACGGTTTGCTTATGTAAGTAATTATTTATCATTATGTAGTTATGTTTAGCCATTACAACATTACACGTATTCCTTTGGCTATTCACACAGACTAAGGAGTTAAAACAGTAGTCATCTTTTTTAGTGTATGCATGATAGATGCTTCATTAAAAACAGTACAGGGTATTTACAGTACGCCATGGCGATGAAAACAAAAACAAACAAAATGTCACAGTAACTGAAGTGCATGGAATGCAGAGTCTAGACATAAAATTCAATCTTCATACCAAGTCTTTTAAATATACGATGTGTGTGGTGACCAGTGTGTTTCTAAATAAGTAATTACCGAGCTAAAATATAGTGGGCTCTCTAAACATGCAGCAAGGTGGGTGGAGCGGTTCGACGCAGGCGACGCTGTCAGAACTCCTTAGTGTCTTTGTCAAACAGATGGAGTCGCTGCTCGGCTGTCAGCCCTTCCTTAAGACTCTGGAGAGAGAGAGAGAAACAGAGAGACAAAAAAATGACTTAATGACCTTGGCCAGGTTTAACTGTGACTTTAATGTGGACAGGACTGAATCATTGATGAGGAAGCAGATTGATGCAAACAGAGGAGTATCATCAATGATCCATACAGAGTCGTGCACTCATTTCTCTCCCTGGTAAAAGTGATATTTCTCTGTAAGGTCCCAATGGCGGCAAATAAAAAAGGTGCTCCCATTCAAACCCACTATCGATATGTGATTTTGGCATCCTATTCGTTGTAGTCTGGTTGGGTAAATTACCTAAAGGAGAAGGGTAGGCCTATAGGTCCTCAGGCAGCCCTAGCTGTCCCAGGGCATGTCACGGGCCACAGACTGAGGACAGAAGGGGGAAACACACCGGCATGTGAGAGTAAGAGGTGAAACACACCGCACCACACTTACCAGGTTTCCTGACACACGTGTTGGTACACTTCTTTCTACATCTGACAGAACCATTATAACCCACAATGAAATAGATGTACAAAGGGATTGTTTCAAGGTTTTAAGAGTAATATAACAAAACTGCTGAACGCTCATAGGGCCAATAACCCACCCAATACAGTACATTCACCTGCTGGGGAAGTAAAAAGTTGCAGTGTAATGCAGTAGTTAACCTGAGGGTGGCAGTGTGTCACAGCTCAATGGCACTTGGTTCCTATTGAACGGTTTCCATACATAACCTTAGCTCCTGGAGACTTCTCCTCTACTGGGTAAATCACATTAAGATGTCTTACTCAGGTGTTTAGAAGACGTACCTTTGACCTCATGGTGCGCTCTGAGCGTTTTGCGGCAGCAGCCGCCATCTTGAGAATGTCAGGGTTGCTTTTGGACTTCATGATATCTGAGGAGAGATAACAGACAGCTTCTTTAACGACAAGTCGTTTGGAAAAAGGGGCTAGTGCAGCTTCTGGACTGTATACTATAGAAACTACTGTAATAAATAGACTTATCTGGCTGCTTGTTGAAAGGGTCAGTGGGTTGCAGGTTGGAGACAGTCTGGACTATATTTGACATTGAGACATCTTAGATAATTTCTTATGTAAATTCAGAGACCACATTCAAATATTGAGGCATTGTGGCACATTGGTCATGACCAAAACAATAACCAACCAATCAAAAGGTTGAGCGCTCAGAGGTAATAGTGCTAGCTGTGTAAGGAGGAAAATGGTCAGTGTTCAGGGAAAAGGGATGCGTCCAAAATGGTACCCTATTCCCTACATAGGGCTCTGGTCAAAAGTAGCGCACTATGTAAAGTAGTGCACTATGTAGGGAATAGGGTGCCATTTGTAGCACACAAATGGAGTAGAAGGATAGAAAGTGTTCAATATTCCTACCGTATCCTCCTGCTCTCTCCACCTCCTCCAGTGAGGGTTCCCCCAGTGCCTCGTGGGCCAGCTGCAGCTGCTCTCTGAGCCTCCCCAGGTCTCTCTCTGCTTTGGCCTTCACGATGCTCAGCTCTGTGTAGATGTCCTTGTACTTGTCCGTTGCATACTTCTTATCCTGGAGGGACAAAGGATACATTGTTTAGGATGGTTGGGTGAGGAATACAACCGCAGCATAAAAAAATTAGAAAATAGTATAAAATACATTGAAAAACTATAAAAAGCAGTTGTAGGTAACTTGGGTCTTGGGACTTACTCTTTGGGCGGCCTGGAGTTCATCCTTCAGAGAGTTGATCTCCTGTTTCAGATACTGGACCTCCGACTCCTTCACCCTCAACATCACCTGGCAAGGAAATTTCAGCTGTGCATAAAGCAATGTACCCTTTCAACAAACAGGAAGATTTCAGCTAATTTCAAATCAAGTCCAATCTTGGGTTCACCTCGAGAGGAGCTTACCTCTAGCTCGTACAGTTCCTTCCCATGTGTGACATTGCAGGTGTCTCCACTCCCGTCTTCAGTCGCCATAGAGCGCATCTTAGTGATCTCTGCGGCTAGACGGTTGTTCAGCTCCTACAGACACAAGGCACATTAGGTGTCATGGTAAGTGTGAGGTCTATTATCAGTGTGTGTGTGTGTGCCTGGGTGTGTGTGTGTGTGCACCTGGTTGTGTGCGTTGAGCTCCTGGTTCTCCCTCTGACACTGTCTTAGGGCCTGTCTCTCAGCCTCCAGGGCTTGGGCCAGGTGGGCGTTCTCCAGGCACTTCTGAGAATACTGTTCCGACAGCACCTCGATCTCCCTTTGGAACGAACACAGCTCCTCTCTGCAACACAGAGAGGTGGAGAGAGAGAGAGAGACAGAGAGCAAGAGAGAGGGAAAGAGAGCGAGAGGGAACACAGGAAAACACTCGGTAAGTCAGACAATACAAGGCAAAACACTCAGCCAATCAATACCATACCTTTTTATTTGTAACACTCAGGAAATTCAACCAAAGACCATGCAGAGCTCTCGTTTCCCTCATAATAGCTGACCAAAGGAAATAGTAGCACAGAGCATAGAAAACTATTTCATTTTGTAGGGTGTTTAGTTCTGGCCAGACACTGGAGTGTAGCTTCAGTGTATCTAGAGTCTAGACAGACCAAGCCAGACTGCTCCTAATCAGTTCCTTAATAAACACCAGACAGACTGATGAAACGCGTGACAGAACTGGAACTGTTTCTGTCTGTAATTCCAGCCTTGGCAAGATCACTCGCCGCCACCGCAGTTCCAGGTTGCCCTGGTTACAGTTGGCAAGGCACAGCCAGTCACAGTCACATACTGGCTTTGCCCAACCTTTAATTGTCATGGCTCTGGGTTGGGTTTGAACTTGAATGAAAAAGACGGCACTACAAAATGAAGTTATTTATCTTGAATATCCCCATTTTGACGGATGATGGACAACATTCCCCCAACTCTGTTTTGCTGTTCAAACTGACAGGAATGAAAAATGTTCATAATATGCAATGATAGGGCATCTGCAGTTACACCTGTGACTGAGGTGAAGTGTGTGTCATATGATATCATGCACTCTGCAGATTGGGCAGGTGAGGAGAAATACCTTCACACATGTCATCACAACTAATTATCAGCCCAAGCCGTATAAACTCAGAGACCTCTTCATAATGAACAGAGCCTATTTTCATTGAAGAAAATAGGAGATTGTCGAGAGGTATCGAAAGAAATCCAGAGAATAGACTTATTACTGTAATGTAAAGCTGCAAATTTCTCATGTCTCGACCGCTACCTCCGGATGTAGCGCACGACACTCGCCCGTCAGTTTCCCCCCTCCAAGCAGGGCAGTATAAACAGAATTGTCTCGTTGAGCCTAACACTCCTACAGTAAAAATCGTAATAGCAGATCAATGTTTTTGAAACAGCTGAAATGTATAGACGGTTTCCTTATATTTGAGACTTGTTTTATTGAGTTTTTACCTGAAATTGCAGTAAAAAAAAGAAGAAAACTGTCAATGGTGCTTGGTTGGCTGCACTGAGCCACGTAAAACAGCTGATCTAAACTCCCCAGTGAATTACCCACGTTTTCAGTCACAATTTGCTTTTACCACATGTAATGATTTGCATGATGTTGATAGAAATGAAGCCTGATTTATTCTAAAGGTGTAAGGTAGGCCTACTGTACTTTTACATCCGTGTTAGAGGGGTAATCGTTCATTTTTGATGGGCTAACATTACTTGATGATGTTGTTAGCTTTACCTAGCTAGCAGTAACTGTGCTTTTGTCTTGAAGCTAAAATGTAATGAGTGTACGGACAACAAAATAAACCCTTGTTAATTGTTGCATTATTCAAGAGTATCATGTGGTGTGATTGCATTATTCAAGGGAGTAATATGGTTAAGATGAAAAGTTGCTTGCATAGTTGAATAGTTTGTTAAAAGCATGCGTACTGACTAGTGGCTATACTGGGATATTTACGGTAAATTTGAACTGCAGCCCCCGAACCCTCTCTCGGCACATGACATTCCTTTGCTAATGTAAATTGAAAGTTTATGTACATATTATGTAAATTGTAATCTCGTTGCAGTGCCTCTGCTACAACTCTCTTCAATCTGTATAGGCTCAGAGACTCTTTGGAACTCAGGCCAATTGAAATGATTGATCAGCTGATTTAACTTTTGAGGAGCTAAGCAGTAATTTTTGCAGTGCCATTTTTACCACTTTCTTGCCGGTATACCCCATATACATAAATAATATAATAGACATATAATATAATATATATAGAGATAATATATATATATATATAATATATATATATATAATATATATGAAATATAAATATAAACATATATGAAAATTATCAAAATTACTGATTATCAGTATATAATGATAATAGCTCAATGATATAGTATATTATGATATATCATCATGATATATAGTATATAAGATATATATGATCTATCTGAACAAAAATATAAACACAACATGCAACAATTTCAAAGATTTTACTGAGTTACAGTTCATATAAGGAAATCAGCCAATTGATTAGGCCCTAATCTATGGATTTCACATGACTGGGAATACAGATATGCATCTGTTGGTCACAGATACCTTTAAAAAAAGTAAGGTTGTGGATCAGAAAACCAGTCAGTATCTGGTGTGACCACCATTTGCCTCATGCAGCCCGACACATCTCCTTCGCATAGAGTTGATCAGGCTGTTGATTGTGGTCTATGGAATGTTGTCCCACTCTTCAATGGCTGTGCGAAGTTGCTGGATATTGGCGGAAACTGGAACACGCTGTCGTACACGTCGACCCAGAGCATCCCAAACATGCTCAATGTGTGACATGTCTGGTGAGTATGCAGGCCATGAAAGAACTGGGACATCTTCAGCTTTCAGGAATTGTGTACAGATCCTTGCGACATGGGGCCGTGCATTATCATGCTGAAACATGAGGTGATGGCAGCGGATGAATGGCACGACAATGGGCCTCAGGATCTCGTCACGGTATCTCTGTGCATTCAAATTGCCATCGATAAAATGCAATTGTGTTCGTTGTCCCTAGCTTATGCCTGCCCATACCATAACCCCACTGCCACCATGGGGCACTCTGTTCACAACACTGACATCACCAAACCGCTCACCCCCACACAACGCCATACACATGGTCTGCGGTTGTGAGGCCGGTTGGACGTACTGCCAAATGATCTAAAACAACATGGTAGAGAAATGAACATTAGATTCTCTGGCAACAGCTCTGGTAGACATTCCTAGAGTCAGCATGCCAATTGTACGCTCCCTCAAAACTTGAGACATCTGTGGCATTGTGTTATGTGACAAAACTGCACATTTTAGAGTGGCCTTTTATTGTCCCCAGTACAAGGTGCACCTGTGTAATGATCATGCTGTTTAATCAGCTTCTTGATATGCCACACCTGTCAGATGGATGGATTATTTTGGCAAAGGAGAAATGCTCACTTACAGGGATGTGAATAAATTTGCGCACAATATTTGAGAGAAATAAGCTTTTTGTGCATATGGAACATTTATGGGCTCTTTTATTTCAGCTCATGAAACATGGGACCAACACTTTACATGTTGCATATATATTTTTGTTCCGTGTACATCCCTTGCGTAGCCAGCATTGGGAAGGGGTGGGAACAAGAGAAAAATATATACTTTGACCCTGTCATTGTTTCCATTGTCATGGTAACCTGCCAGTGACAGCATTGATCAAAGTTCTAAATTCCTCTGACAGAATGCACTGCTTTTGTTTCTTCACAACCACAAGTTAACTATTTTTTGCTCGCCATACTTGTAAATCATTTGTAAATAATGACCTTGTAATGTGTTAATTTTATGCTTATGCATCCTTATTTCGACTCCAAATCCACCACTGGTGTGCGTGGCCAAAGAGCTCTATTTTCATGTCATCCAACAAATGTAAACACCTGGAGTTTTCTAAACAGCATTGGCACTTGGATTAGAACTGGTGCTATGGTCAGATGACATGAAAATAGAGCTCTTTGGCCATGCACACCAGTGGTGGGTTTGGCCTCGAAATAAGGATGCATAAGCAGAAAATAACCCCATACCTACTGTAAAATATGGTGGTGGATCTTTGATATTATTGGGCTATTTTGCTTCCACTGGTCCTGGGGCCCTTGTTAAGGTCAACGGCATCATGAACCTTACCCAGTACCAGGACATTTTAGCCAAAAACCTGGTTGCTTCTGCCAGAAGGCTGAAACTTGGCCACAAGTGAATATTCCAGCAAGACAATAACCCCAAGCACACATCAAAATCCACAAAGAAATGGTTAAATGACCACAAAATCCACATTTTGCAATGGCCATCTCAGTCTCTGCGCTTGAACCCCATTGAAAACCCTGTGGTTTGAATTGAAGAGGGCAGTCCATAAGTGCAGACGAAGGCTATCAAGGATCTGGAAAGATTCTGTATGGAGGAATGGTCTAAAATCCCTCCCAATGTGTTCTCCAATCTCATAAAACATTTTAGAAAAAGGCTCATGCTGTTACCCTCACAAAGTGAGGTATTGAAAGGTATTGAAAACAGGGGTGCCAATAATTTTGACCCCTATCTTTTTTAGAAATTGTATTAGTATAAAATAATATAATTTCCCAAAATTTTTGAGCATACAATAATAGCTCAGTATTTTTATTATTTATTTTATACAGTCTTTTTTGCTCATCTTTATCAAGGGTGCCAATAATTTTGGACATGACTGTATGTCAAAGGGTAAGGTTGTTATTTGGGAGCGATGGGGACCTGAGTCAGTAGTTTTGACTGAAGAGAAACAGTAAACATTGTAAACATTAACTCAAGAATAGAGTCTGGACTGGAAATTTGAGTCTTGACTCTCAATGAAGACCTGAGACTTGACCTGCTTATTGCGATTTCAAGATTGTATGATCTTGGAGAGTATCTTTGCATAGTGTACTGTATATAATGTGCTTGGGGTACTGAGGGGATATGATAACTTGAAAATAATATGGTCTTGGCGATGGTAATGTGCTTGTCGTACTGAGGGGACATTATATTAGTGATGGGGGAAGAAAATCGATACAGTTACAGTTCATATTGGGATATAATTTTTGACGATATATCGTATCATTTTGACATATTGCAATATTATTTTTGCGCTAGTTGGCTGTACCTGCACCAAAACTCCAGTATTTTTCCTTCATAGCTTGTTCTCCATCTTCTTTTAAAATAGGGAGCAAATTAGTTTTCAGCACTTTTACATCGAATTGCAATAAAATCACATAATCGAATCACAATACATATAGAATCGTGAGAATCGCAATGCATATCGTATCGGCACCAAAGTATCGTGATAACATAGTATTGTGAGGTCCCTGGCAATTTCCAGCCCTACATGATATGCTAACTTACTCGTGCTGCCTGCATATCTCCTCTATGTCTGCGTTCTCCGTGTTGCTGTTGGACTTGCGGGCCTTGTCCAGCTCCTTCTCCAGCTCCGACCGGTGGGCGTTCTTCATCGCCTCGATCGCTGGGGAAACAAAAACAAAGAACGTTGTTATTGGGGGAGAGCTCTAGCATAGCCGGACCATCTGCTAACTCAAAACATTAGGTAACTGTGTTTTAGAAATACAAATCCACTGTTTTATAAAGCAGAGCCCAAAAAACCATGGTAACTCACAATTATGGGTTTGCGAACACAAGTGAACAAAATACTTCATGTTAACCTGATGCTACTGCTAGCAAGGGACATTAGGCCTATATGATTACCAAGGTGTTAATGCTGATTTCATTAGCTGCTATGGTAATTACTACTGACCGGCTATGGTAGCTGCAGTCTCCTCGGCTAGCAGCCTCTCCTTTTCCTCGTGTAGGTTCTCCAGCTCTCTCTGGTGTTTCCTCTGCAGCTCGTCGATCACCTTCTGGTGGGAATCCTCCATTGCAGCAAAGCCCCTCTCACAGGTGGCCTATTAATGGAAGGTAATGTGGGCAAAGTGAGTCCACATGCAACCATAAGCTAGGGCCAAGGGTTTTCCTGCCAGACCATGTGACATGACTATGAAAAACTCAGGACCCTATTTATATGGTATAGAGGGCCCTGAAATGTTTTCCTGGACAAGTCAAACCCAGGATCTAGTTAAAGCCAATCAACTCTGATCCAGAACTTGTCCAGTTCAGGAAAAACTCCTGGCCCTAGCATCAACCACTGCTGACCAACCATTCACTGACACTGATCACTGATGACAAACACCAAGCTAGCTACTGCACGTTTAGCCATGAGCAACATAAGCCTATGGTACAAAGGGTTAAGAAAAGAACAGAATACACAATATGTTAAAGGAATGCATAGGCAGCGAGAACGCAATGTGATTGAGATGGCTGTGTTCTGTAGCCTAATTATCCCTGCAACAGTAAAGGTATTCAACCGATGCCAGGTTTTTAGCTAAGTAAACTCTGGGCCGCTTGCACATAAAACACCTATTACAAATTGAGTTCATGTCTAGTGTGTGATATTGTTAGCTGTCTAGGGCGGCAGGTAACCTAGCAGTTAAGACCGTTGGGCCAGTAACCGGAAGGTTGCTGGTTCGAATCACTGAGCCGACAAAGGTAAAAAATATGTTGATGTGCCCAAATATGTTGATGTGCCCTTGAGCAAGGCACTTACATTTACATTTTACATTTTAGTCATTTAGCAGTCGCTCTTATCCAGAGCGACTTACAGTTAGTGAATACATATTTTTTTTATACTGGCCCCCCATGGGAATCGAACCCACAACCCTGGCGTTGCAAACGCCATGCTCTATCAACTGAGCTACATCCCTGCCGGCCATTCCTACCCATACCCTGGACGACGCTGGGCCAATTGTGCGCCGCCCATGAGTCTCCCGGTCGCGGCCGGCGGCGACAGAGCCTGGATTCGAACCAGGATCTCTAGTGGCACAGTTAGCACTGCGATGCAGTGCCTTAGACCACTGCGCCACTCAGGAGTACTGAGCACTTAACCCTAATTGCTCCTGTAAGTCGCTCTGGATAAGAGCGTCTGCTAAATTCCTAAAATGAAAAAATGTAAATGTCTATAATATGAAAAACGTATAATCTGCTTCCATTGAACAAATCTTTGGTGGAATATAGGAGGTTAAGATGAGACCAAATAGAGCAATGGATAATAGGCTGATTCTGTGGGGACAGACAGTGGAGTCTGACGTGTCTTCATCGTGAGGTGGCAGGGCCAGCATGTCTGTGGATTGCCTTTCAGTGGTATAGACCAGGGTTTCCCAAACTCGGTCCAGGGGCCCCCCCGGGTGTAGGGCTGGGCAATATATCGGATTAATTCAAATGTATGTTTTTGTGCGATATTTAAAGTGCCTGTATCGCAGAATCAAGGATTTTGGTAATTTCGTTTTTATGAGCGTTTATGTCCGCTTGTTCTCATGTTGTCTTTTTGGTCTTGTTCGCTCCTTCTGTGCACCTGGTCTCCGCCCTAACAATGGGAGTCGTTGTCCCAAAGGCGGGAAGGCAGGTGACAAGCTTAGGTTCAAAATAAGCACATAGAAATGCATTGGGCTTATTTTGGACAGATTTTGGCGAAACCTCTCGCTTCACTTCTTTGTCCCAAGCCCCTCCCCCTACCACTCACAACAACAAAGATGAGAGATCACTTCTTCCTCTCTGACAAACGGTTTCAACTCACTATTTGCATTTGCGGTTTGGTCCAACAGAATCGGTCATATGGACACTGAAACACACAGACATTATTTTACTGTAATAGAGGAGAAGTTTACCTTTCGAACCATATCTTGTTTGTTTCAACTCCTCAAATTTCGAACAGAGCAGACACTACTAAAACGGATGTACCAATGAACATTCATTCTGGAAAATGAATGCTCAGTTTGTCGCATGCGCATTACACTACCACGTATCGCTAGCAGCATTTTAGTCAAATAAAGATTGTTATACTAGCTGTTTAGTCTGTGTTTTATAAATGTGCAATAAGCATAAAACAGACCATATCGCCCAGCCCTACCTGGGTGCACATTTTGGTTTTTGCCCTAGCACTACAAAGCTGATTCAAATAATCAAAGCTTGATGAGTTGAATATTTGAATCAGTTGTGTAGTGCTAGGGCAAAAACCAAAACGTGCACCCAGGGGAGGCCCCAGGACCTAGTTTGGGAAACCCTGATATAGAGAAAGGAGGTTGGGGAGGGGAGGAGGGGGTAATCCTGATCAACACGGCTTTAGAAAGAGCCATTCACAATGCTATTGCAATTACAGTGCATGTTTCCACAAGAGGGGATTTGAATAGCCTTCTGACCAGATCGACCCAAAACCTACTTCCGTCCTCTATTCAGCGCTGCTAATCTGAGTACTCAGTCAACGGTGCTATCCTACGCTCCCTCTCTAGCCAAAGTCTGTTTTCACAGGGATAAGTCCCCAGTGCTCGGGAAACTGGCCCAGACGGGAACAAACTTTGAGACTGAGAGCGAGCCAACTTCCTGGCTGGATATATGGGGACAATTCCTGCTGTGACATCACAGCAAGCAACACCTGCCCTTTGTTTAGTGTGTGTGTGTGTGGCCCATTTCCTGTTTAGGGGGGTGACTGGTGTATAGTATACAACTACACTATTGAGAAATTTGCAAACAAAGTCTGGGTCTAACTGAGGGAATGTGTTGTTCAAGGGATGAAACCTGTCCTGCACACACAGCGACCATCAAGGACCAGGAAGAGCACTGCTAAAATGTTATTACAATGTTATTACTGCCAGAGGACAGCTACCACCAGTCCGTCCCTATACACAACAACAATATAAAGATTATATCACCAGCAGCAACAAAATACATGGAGTAGCATATGCCTTTCATTTCATGTCAGCTGTGCACCCAACTGTATCGTAAACATGACTAGAAGACCTACAGGCAACTGCCAAAATAAAGGAAACACCAACATAGTCTCAACATGTGTCTTAATAGGGCGTTGGGCCACCACGAGCCAACAGAACAGCTTCAATGTGCATTGGCATAGATTCTACAAGTGTCTGGAACTCTATTGGAGGAATGCGACACCATTCTTTAACGAGAAATTCCATCATTTGTAGTTTTGTTGATGGTGGTGAAAAACGCTGTCTTAGGCACCGCTCCAGAATCTCCCATAAGATTAAATTGGGTTGAGATCTGGTTACTGAGAACCCTTTTTCAAAGTCACTGAGATCTCTTCTTCTAGCCATGGCAGCCAAAATAATGGGCAATGGGCATTTGTATACATGACCCTGAAGCATGATGGGATGATAAATGCTTAGTTAACTCAAGAACCACACCTGTGTGGAAGCACCTGCTTTCAAAATACATTGTATGAAAAAGTATGAAAATGTATGCACTCACTAACTGTAAGTCGCTCTGGATAAGAGCGTCTGCTAAATGACTAAAATGTAAAATGTAATTGTATCCCTCATTTACTTAAGTGTTTCCTTTATTTTGGAAGTTACATGCATGTCTCTTTCCTGAGGTTAACAACCCATGCCATCTGCTTAGAAACAGTCTCTATTCAAGACTAATAAACACAGGCAGAAAACAACAGCTTTTAAAACCATTCATATACAGCTGGAGCCTGATCATAAATTACGTGCGTAATTCTAATACACATCTACAACATAATGTGATGTAGAGAGACCATGACAATGGAGGAAATTCTCTGTAGTCAAAAAATACACAAAAATAGGATCTACGACATATAAAAACATCTGGGTAACTATACGTTTACATACAGTACCCAAGATTCTGGGTAGATGATCATTGTTTTACATTTCTTCCTTTTAAGCATTACTTTTCCAAAAAAGTAATACGTCTAAGCTTAAAATATTCTGCAATGTTTTGAAATCCTGTCAATTATCATTAATTGTTCATCAGCAAGTCAGGAGGGGAAAAGTTTAATGTTTAGTCAGTTAAAGCAACATCACAACATCAAAGACAAAAAGGTAAGCCCCATGCATCTTCGAATGCAGTTGATTTCATCCTCAATAAAAAAAGCTATATATCCACCTGATTATCTAAATCATGTGTCTGTTGAGAATAACTTAATAGTTAGACAGCTTTAAAAGGGGTTCAACCATTTGTATTTGACATTTCTAATATACAACACCTATTGAAGAAAGGAATCTGTAATCAAGCACATCAAACTGTAGCTTCTGAGGAACTCATTTCGTCAGCAACTATACCTTCTGGTATGATACGGTGCAATTTCACATTGGATGGGAAAATATGCTGATAGACACTATATAACATGACTAAATTCTGTCAGCCTGACTTTCATGTGACTGTAGGACATGTTCTGGTTAGCCTCCCACATTAACAATGTTCCAGTTGCCCTAGGTCTGGGAGTTGTAGACTTTTCCTGTCAAACAAAATGGGTTCCTCAGCACACAACTAGTTGTCAACAACCACATGCACTGAACAGTGAATTAGTCACCATGCAACACTGGAGCATACTGGTTTACAAAGAAAATTAAAGCAGAGTGAGGAGAGCAGGGTTAGAGAGGAAAGGGGGGTAGGGCAGGTAGGAGGGGGTTGGGAGGGTGGGGGGTGCCACAAGGAGACAGAAGGCATCACGGACGGAGGAACAGCAAGTACAAGGAATGGCTTCCACCTTCAGATTCTCCAGGTCTTTGTCGTATTTCAGCCGGAGGGTAGCTGCGTCGCCCTGGCGCTCCCTCCGCTTCATCTCCTCCGTCATGGCTGAGACCTGGGCCACCAGCTCCTGGATGCGCTCCTTGAGGGCGGAGGTTGTGGATGTCTCAGGGGACATCGTCCCATCCTCTGCCCCAGTGAGATAGCTTCCTCCTGGGGTGACATCCATTTGGTGGTGGAACTTCTCTAGCAGGATGCTCCTCTCCATCTCGTGTTTCTTCTTCAGGTTCTCCATGCAGACAGTCAGAGAGTCTATCTCCTTCACGTTCTCTTCACGTTCTAGATGCAATATCTCGGCCACCTTTGCCACCTCCTGTCTCAGCTTCTCTGTTTCCTGTGCGTAGATGTCCTTGATCTCCCGCAGCTCCAGCTTGTGCTTGGCCACCATGTCTTGTAGCTGTATGGCCTTGTCCAGGGAGTCAATGGGCTCACCTTCGATCTGAATGTGTGTTATTGGTCTAGTATCTTCACTCATAGGGCTTTCAAGGCTTGACAGATCATTCTGTAGATCCGCCATTTTGGATTGTAGATCTCGGTTCAGTTCTCTCAGTAGAGAGCAGTTGGCACAGTCGGAGTTGCAAATCGGAAGTTTCTCAACCATTGTTTCTTTCAGCTCTTTCTCGTGTTGGAACTTCAGCCTGCTGATGAGATAGGACATGTGGGCTTCTGTGGCTGCGTCTTCAAGGTGCTCAGACCATTTTTTCTTTAGTTTGCTGGAATCAAAGCTAGCTAGGACCAAGGACAGGAGCTTGTCATTAGTGGACGTCTCAATGGTGGAGGCAATCAGGTTCAACAAATACACTTTATCTTGCAATGCCTCTGTTAAATCTTTCAAAATGAGAGTGTTTGTGTCGTTATCAAGCCAGCTGCACCAATTCAAAAGGTATGCTTCCAGGGTCTGTGCAGTCACAGTCATCTCATTATCAACTTCCATCTTTGGTCGAGGACAAATCCTGTTCATTAACAGCAACATGCTCTTCTCAGCTACCATACGCTCTGCCACACGCCTTTCAAAACGACATGCACTTTCACCTTCAGTCTCGCCTGTGCTAACCTCTACAGCACTCAACAGACGACTCCAGAACTCTGCCTCTAATACCAACCTTTTCATTACTCTCTGACTTACTTCATCCGTCTCCTCTTCAAAGGACCCAAGGCAGTCTGTGATATGTAAAGTGCTTTTCATATCAATTAGCGTTTTGTCCACACTAACATCTACCTTCGCTAACACCTCTAACACTTGACTAAGGGCCTCTGACTTCATCTTTACCTCACCTACTAATTGCTTTATAACACTTTCGTCTGCTACCTGCCTCTCACCTGTCTGCATCAACTCTTCACTAACATTCACTTCTCTTTCTCCCCTAGCTGCCTCTACCTCTAACTTTGCTCGCAACATCCTAATCTCATTCTCTGCCTCTACAAGTTTCTGACTCTGGAGTCTCTCAGATTCCTGGTTTCTAGTTTTAAGTTCAACCGTCTGAGCTTGAAGTTCTCTACAGAGATGCTGTGTGGACTGAAAGAGCACTTCCTTTTCTAAGAGCTTGGCCTCTGTGGCCTCCAGCTGCTCTTTGAGTTTCTCCTTAGGGGACTCATCGTCACCTTCTTTGGCTATTTGGAATCCCAGACCTTTGAGAGTGGCCTCTTTCAGCTGCAGTCTTCTCTCTGTGTCCTTCAGGCTGTTTCCTAGCACCTCCAAGGTGACCAGCGCCTCATGAAGCTTCACAGACTTCTCATTCAGCTCGCTCTCATAGAACACCCTGTCAATAGCGTTGGCTTCGCACTCCGCTAGTCTGGCCCTGACCCTGTTCAGCTCCTCTAGGACCAGTAGGTGCTGTTTCCCACCTTGCAGGTTGATTAGCTCAGCTTTAAGCCTGTCTATCTCCCTATCTGCCTCAGTTAGTTGGTTCACTATCTCCTGATAGCGCTGGTTCAGCGCTCCGTTTTCGCTCGTTAGAAGTTCGACCCTCTGGGACAAAGTCCTGATCGTGATCTCCTGGCTTTCTGAGTGCTCTTCATTTTGACACAGTGGTCCGTAAGAGCTCTTCAGACTCTCCACCTTCTGCTTCTGAACCCTTCCTAGCATGTCTTCCATGGTCAGGAGTCGTGATTCGTAATTGTGGATGCTTTCGCCCGCCCTGGCCAAGCTCTTCCTCATAGTCTCGTTCTCTACCTCCTGCTGATACTTCCAGCTCTCCAAGAGCCTCTGGCAGCTACCCTGTTCTCCTATATCCTGATTACCCTCCAGGCTGAATTCACTGTGAGACCGTAGCAATCTATCCAGTCCCTTTAGAGTCAGGAGCTTTCCTGAGATCAAGGCCTCTAGCTCTTGAATAATGTCTGCACTATCTTCAATCAAAAAGCTAACGGTCTTTTCGACGAGTGGCTCTGAGGGAGGCAGGCTGTGCAGAGGGGCTGTTTTTTGGGGGTCAGAAAGGTAAGGTTCCTTGATGGAGAGGTGAGAAAGTGTGAGGCCAAGCTGTGCCTGCATATTGCGCTTTTTCAGTTCTTGTAGCTGCAGGAGCTCTTTGGTCTCCTGGTACTTCCTTGCTAAGCTCTGAGCTTGAGAACTAACCAGTTCTGGCCTCTTCGTCTGGGGCTCGATATCAGCCTCCAGACCCAAAGGGAGCTCCAGCTTGGAAAAGGGGACCAGACAGTTGGTTAACACACACAGCAGGGGTGAAAAAGGCTAACTAAATTGTTTTAGGTAATCCATCAATTATTTCCCCCTGTATTCATAGCAATTAAACATTATGAAATCATCATAATTATAATTTTGACTACAAAATTACGTAACTAAACATAATGATTGAAAACATTACAGAAATAGAATCCAGCTTCTATCATTAGGCTAAATGATTAGAATTAGAGCAATGGAAAGAGAGATTTAATGGCCACAGTTAGTAAATCACAAAATAGCATGCACATTAAATGGTTAAGAGTTATTTAATGGGGTAAGTAATGCAAAATTAGTGCTAGCTAGGTGGTTTACTTAGAGATGAGTTGCATACCAGGTCCTAGGAATAAACAACGTTCTTGAAATCTCCTTTTTCTGAACTCTTCGTGTCTTTCACAAAAACAGAAACATTTCTCAAAAGGCACTCATCAAATTGCATCACATTGCGTAATTGCAAATGTAACAATGCAGGTCAAAACTGAGTTCAATGTATGGTTTCAGTAAAAACAACCACAACATGAACAGGAAATTTATTATTTTCCTTTCTTATGAGGATGTCAATGACCTGTTTTGAAGGCTTTAGCAAAAATGCGAAGGTCAGCATAAATTACTCACATTCCCTCTCTCCCTCTCTAAACATCATATCCATCAACTCAAACATTTCTCCAAAGTCCCCTTTGAACTGAATCTAATTTTCATTGTTACACAAGCTATCCAAGAAAACCAACTGTCTTTGATAAACTCAACAGATGTACACAATATGTGGTGAGGAATTCAAAAAGCATCTATACACCCTCCATACGGACAGATTCTCACCTCTCCCGCGCTCTCTCTTTCCCTCTTTTACACACACACACACACACACACACACACACACACACACACACACACACACACACACACACACACACACACACACACACACACACACACACACACACACACACACACAAGCAAGCAAAATCCAATAGACAACTATCACCTGCATAATGGTATGGCTCACACATCGGTTAAAAGAAGAATGGATGGTTGGAACAGTGGTGAATAAAATATGGAAAATAAGACATCCATGCAAAAAATTCATAATGAGACAAGCCGAAAAGGTTTTCATACAGTTCTGAGCCAAACGTCATCATTTCAACAACTATGGCTGTACTGTTGAAGTCAAGTAGCCTAATGCATTCATGCCATTTACAGCATTACAGGAACGTTGATAAGGAAACGTATCCATCTAATGTTAATCATTAATTGAATGCATCATGTTCAATACACTAGCATGAGTTCATGACATATGTCGTACATCTAAAAAACAACAGCAAGAGGTGATGAACCAGAAGAAGCTGTAAAAAGGAGTCATAAAAACAAGATCTTCATGTTTCTCCTCACATGCAATGAACGGACTCATGCAAAGGCACATTCTGGAGCTGTTTTGTAGCTTTGATGTCAGTCAGTTTGATGTTTTCTCACAATAAAAATACAACATGCAAAGGAGGTTACGAAATGGAAAGAGACAGCTCAATCTGTACCTTGAGTTTATGAAATCTTAGCTCAGGTATGAACTCAACACGACTATAGAGAATAAAACAGCTCTGAGGAAGAGGAGAAGAAGAAGGAGAAGAAGATAGAGCTGTGGTGCTTACCGGGGAGATGTATCCGGTGCGGCTGTGCTGCTCTCTCTCCAGAGCCGTCCTCAGCTGGACCTCCAGATTGTGTTTGTGCTGGTTGGAGTCCACCAGCTGCTGGTGACAGCTCTCCAACTGCACCTTCAGCTCTTCTACCTGGGAGAGGCACCATAGAATGGACAAGGTGAAAATGTGAGGAAACACAGGAGAGCACTGACCTATCAAGAACCCCTTACCTTTTACATTGCATTGATCTTCGTTCTAGTGAACCACACGCGCACTCACATACACAAAACCCATACTCACTCCTTTCTTGTAGCTCTCCAGCAGTTTCTCCAGCTCGGCCGTCTCCCTGGTCTGCAGTGTCGAGGGCAGAGGTACCCTCCTCTCATCCCTGATTGGTGTCTGCTCCACCTGCTGCCAGTGCTGCTCGATCTCCTCCTCCACCTTCTGCTGCCTCTCCAGGGAGGGGGGACCCCCACACTCACCCCCAGGGCTGCCTTCACTCCCTCCCCCACTCTCATAGTCCATCCTCCCACCCTCGGAGCCTGCTGGTTGGTCCACGGAGGAGCCAGTCACAGACTCATACCTCCTCCTTCGTTCTTCCCGCCTCCGGCTCCGATCGGGGTCACCTAGGTCAGTCTGCAGGGGCTCGGCCTCCTGGGCCCGCTGCTGGGCCAGAACCTGGGCGATGGGTCGGAACTCGGCCCAGTCGAAGGTCTTGGAACGGCCCTCTCGCCGGCGCTCACGGGCCCGACTCTTCTTGGGGCCTGGCCCTGGCTCTCGCTCCATGGACGAGGCTTCGGAGGAAAGGGAGTCCTGGGTCCTGTCCGGCCGAACCAGCCCCTCCAGCGGGGAGAAGGAGCTGTGGTCGCTTGCCACATCCGGAGCAGTGGAGGGTCTGACGCTTTTCATTACAGCCTGTATCCAGTTCCTCCGTATGCCTGCAGTCATGGCCGACAGGGTGTGCATGCCCTCCTGGGTCTGAGGAAGACAGTTAGGGTGTTAGATTCAAACTGTACATTAACTGCTGCACTATTAGGTGATAGTAAAGGGGTATGTTACATCCATACACTGAAGAGCTGACATAAAAAGGGTTACATAAATGCAAATCATCGTTATTACATAAAGATAATATGAGACTGTATGCGAGAGATTGGGGCTTACATGTATCTGGAAGCCGTAGTTGCGTTGAGCCTGGTATTCAGTGACGTTATAACACGTACACAGGTCTATCTCCCCGTCCAGATCTGAAGCCTGCAATTTAGTAACATTACAGATGATGAAAACTAAGTCAGGAAGACAGAATAGATTATTATCAGCATACAAGCAGCCAGTTGCTGGAGTTGAGATTATACTTACGAAGATATCAATAAGAAACCAATACTATATTAGCAAACAGGTATTCCATTTCTTTAAAGATAACTACTGCCATTGCTACAGTTGTTCACAGTTAAACTAGAACGAATGAAGAGTTTAGATGGATTGAGAAATAAGTCACCTCTTCAGCAATGGAGTCCTTGTAGTATCCGAGGCTGTGGTCTGTCAGTACGAACCAATACTTCTTCCACTGTAGAGGAAAGGAGAGAGGGAACACAGGTCACAGAGTTCACTGGAAATACAGAAACTGTTCTGTTACTGCTGTAGACTGAGAATAAATAATCTATTTAGTGCCAGTGAGAGTTATGAGACACTAATAAATAATGGAGTAATGACATTAGGAGCTTGGTTTCTGTATGCAACAGACCAGAAAAAAAACTATGACAGCAGAGGAGACTGAAGTGATGTTGGTAGCCCTCTGAAAAGTAATGATTTCTATGAAAGCTTTATGTTAATTTTCACTGTGTAATATAGCGTTGGAGCATCAGTCTACACAATAAATATAGCTGTAAAAGAGAATAGACTTGCTGTAAAAAGAGAAGCACCACATAACCCTTTCAACTGTCACCCATTGAAGCTGTGCCATCAAAGACTGACCCGTGGCTCTAAAGGCCATAGAATGCTACAGACATTCTAGAATGCTTTAGGTGAACGTTCAGATAACCGTTTGAACTTCAACCGACTGCCTACTTTGTTGATCTCACCAAAAAGAAAAGTACAATTTTCAAATCTCATGGCATCAAACTAATGTTATTTTTTCAAGTGTTTACATTTTCCAGAAACATTAGAAAAACAACATCAGTTGTTTTGGTGATGTTTGTATGTTTTGTTTATTGCTTACATGTCCTTGCTCATCCAGCTTCACCATCCAACCTTTCTTGAAGTTCAGCAAGTCAGGCTGGAATGATAAACAAAGACGCTTAGCATTATTACAAACCATCCCTAAAAGCATAACATAAAATGTACTCTTTAAAAATGTCAATTAAATCAACCTGTGGTCCAGTAAAGGCAGTCTAGTGAACCCACACAGTAAGATCATGCAAGACGAACCAAGAGATGCTGAAACCACAGATACTAAACTTGCAGCCTTTTAAAAACCACATCTCGGTTCCACATAGGACTCCATAACTTTAACAGGTCATACTTACAGGCACCCACAGCTGAAAGAAAAGTATGCATGAGCCTGACTAAGCGACTAGAGCACATAGCTGACAGAATCATTGCAATTCCAACACGCTACATTACTTAGACGGTAACATATTTAGACAATTTAGAATATCTGTAACGACTATCTTGAACATTTGTAAGGTTCAAAAATACCCTTCATTAGTTAACTATGGTCAACCTGCAAAACAAAAACTTGATGTCTGAGAAAGAGCAGAAAAAAAACCTCCACATGCTGGCTCTGCTCGAGGTAGAAGTTTCCCCTGATCACATATCTAGGATCAGATTACCTTACCACCAATCCTACCATTAACATTAGGAGGATACAATAATAACTGACCCTGGACCAGTGGTTAGGGGAAATATGTACCTACTCCATTAGGCATCACAGAGCCTTCTGAAAAAATGTCTGTTGTGGTTTCACACAGTGGAAGAAAACACACACAAAGTGCCCTGGGGAAGCGGTGCTGGTTTGTGGCACACACACTCTCCCTCTCTCTCACAAACACACACTCCTCAAACATACACACAGCAGAATGGGTGCCAACACACAGAGGCCTGAGGGCCATGGCCAAACACAGGAGTAGCAAGAAGATAACCTGGACTGGAGAGGGGACTGCGCTGCCCCCTGTAGCATGGAGGACTGCATTAGGACGTCCAGGACACCAACCAACCAGCTCTGAAACAGCATGTCCTAACCACATCACCCATTACAGTGCCCTTGACTGTACTCTACTGTACAGTAGAATCATCCAACATCCCAGTCATAAAAACCCTGGTCGCGAAAACAGCCCAAAAGAGTAGGAACCAAAAGACCCCCCAAAATACCTAATGAATTTGTCAAAGTTCACGAGGTGCAGACTAATAGATAATAAACTTTATGAAACTATAACAATCCCTTATTTTATTGCACCAACAAAGGCACTCTATGTACCAATATGGGTTCATTCATTCATTACTACAGCCAAGCCAGGAGTACCATTTCCCAACCAAAGCTGCTGTAACGACATGATGTCCTAGCCAAAAACTCCAGTACCATGTGGTTAAACGGTTTAGTGGTTTAATGTTATCATAACATTTACACTAGCTAAGGCCTGCTGGGCCCTTTCTCAACCCAAATACTCTTAACACTGCTACCCAACCCTTATACACACAATGTTACCCAACCCGTATACTCCACCAACCCCACAACCCCTCGACTCAGCCGGGCTAAAGTCCTGGCGTTGCTGATGACCTTTAACTCCGCAACTTTAGGAGAACAGCAGAACTATTGTGGTGTTGTCGGGACCTGGAGAGAAAGTTCCTTCAGCTTAGCCCACACACACAAGAACACACACACACGCCTTACGTAAACAACAACGCTCATTGATAACAATTTTCTCCCTGGTGTGTGTTTGAGTATGTCTGACTGCAGACCCTGAGAGGCCACATAGTAAGATTGAACGACAGAAGAGAGGAGAGTGAAATGGTACTAACGGTCATGACAGACTCGGTGGTCCTGCGGTCCAGGGACTTGGCTCGTCTCAGAGGGGGCAGAGTGGAGGGGAAGTCCAGGCCCTGGCCATGTCTCTGCTCCTGAAACACACAACATGACGTCAATACTCTTTTATCAAAATGGTTCATATGAGTGTTTTCATCGGAAGAAAGGAGTCATATCAATGTGTCATGAGCCCAATTCTGTTTCTCCTGGAGTGTGCACTTTTACAGAACAGTCTTCCTACCTAACATATTATAGCCTTAATTTCTGTAGTATGCTATGTGTTTTTATGAGCAGAACAATTCACTCCTCCCATGTGAACAGTTTAACATATGCTAACATATCTCTGCACAACTGTCACAATAACAAATTATTTTTCTAACAGAATCACACATCTTTTAACAGGAAACTGAACCCAACAGACTTTCACTGAACCAGAGAATGGAAACAAAGACAATGCTCTGATACAGAAGAAAACAAGCCCCATCCAGGAGCAGTGTGTGTCTCAGAAAGAACGAGAGAGAGTAGAGAGACAGGTGGAGAGAGAGAGAGAAGTGGAGTGAGCGAGAGAGGAGGGGAGAGAGAGAGTTGGAGCGAGCGAGAGAGAGAGAGTGTGTAAGTGCAGGTGGTATGATGTTTACTATAAGTGCCCTTATACTTGACAGGACAAACTGGTCATATAAACAGCTCTCTTCTGGGGATACTTTGGCCGGGACACTTTTTTGGAGGGACAATTTGGGTATAGTCTCTCTCTTTGAGGTCTTTCTGTTGTTGGTCCTACAACAGAGGCGTTTTGTCCTGGCATGGGCAGGCCAGAGCAGAGTCAGGGTGGGAAAGGGAAGTTAGTATCATCATGGGAATCCAGCCACATAATGGAAACTGGAAATGAATACAGCACACTCTCCAGATCCTTTGACCTCTAACTGAAACAAGGACAGAGGGAGAGAGAGTGTGTGTGTGTGTGTGTGTGTGTGTGTGTGTGTGTGTGTGTGTGTGTGTGTGTGTATATATGAGAGAGAAAGAGTCTGCTTCATGTGCGACAGCTCACAGAATCTAGCTCCTCTTTCAGAGCTCCAGTGCTGTGTCATGTCAAATCAAATCAAAGTTTATTTGTCGCGTACACAGATTAGCATATGTTAAAGCAGGTGCCGCGAAATGCTTGTTTCTAGCTCCAGCAGTGCAATAAATGTCTAACAGTACAATACTAATACACAAATAATAAAAAAAGAAAAGAAAAAAAAAGCATGTAGAGGTCTGTAATTTTATCATAGGTACACTTCAACTGTGAGAGACGGAATCTAAAACAAAAATCCAGAAAATCACATTGTATGATTTTTAAGTAATTAATTTGCATTTTATGGCATGACATAAGTATTTGATACATCAGAAAAGCAGAACTTAATTTTTGGTACAGAAACCTTTGTTTGCAATTACAGAGATCATATGTTTCCTGTAGGTCTTGACCAGGTTTGCACACACTGCAGCAGGGATTTTGGCCCACTCCTCCATACAGACCTTCTCCAGATTCTTCAGGTTTCGGGGCTGTCGCTGGGCAATACGGACTTTCAGCTCCCTCCAAAGATTTTCTATTGGGTTCAGATCTGGAGACTGGCTAGGCCACTCCAGGACCTTGAGATGCTTCTTACGGAGCCACTCCTTTGTTGCCCTGGGTGTGTGTTTCGGGTCGTTGTCATGCTGGAAGACCCAGCCACGACCCATCTTCAATGCTCTTACTGAGGGAAGGAGGTTGTTGGCCAAGATCTCGCGATACCTGGCCCTCCCCTCAATACGGTGCAGTCGTCCTGTCCCCTTTGCAGAAAAGCATCCCCAAAGAATGACGTTTCCACCTCCATGCTTCATGGTTGGGATACTGTTCTTGGGGTTGTACTCATCCTTCTTCTTCCTCCAAACACGGCGAGTGGAGTTTAGACCAAAAAGCTATATTTTTGTCTCATCAGACCACATGACCTTCTCCCATTCCTCCTCTGGATCATCCAGATGGTCATTGGCAAACTTCAGACGGGCCTGGACATGCGCTGGCTTGAGCAGGGGGACCTTGCGTGCGCTACAGGATTTTAATCCATGACGGCGTAGTGTGTTACTAATGGTTTTCTTTGAGACTGTGGTCCCAGCTCTCTTCAGGTCATTGACCAGGTCCTGCCGTGTAGTTATGGGCTGCTCCCTCACCTTCCTCATGATCATTGATGCCCCACGAGGTGAGATCTTGCATGGAGCCCCAGACCGAGGGTGATTGACCGTCATCTTGAACTTCTTCCATTTTCTAATAATTGCGCCAACAGTTGTTGCCTTCTCACCAAGCTGCTTGCCTATTGTCCTGTAGCCCATCCCAGCCTTGTGCAGGTCTACAATTTTATCCCTGATGTCCTTACACAGCTCTCTGGTCTTGGCCATTGTGGAGAGGTTGGAGTCTTTGATTGAGTGTGTGGACAGGTGTCTTTTATACAGGTAACGAGTTCAAACAGGTGCAGTTAATACAGGTAATGAGTGGAGAACAGGAGGGCTTCTTAAAGAAAAACTAACAGGTCTGTGAGAGCCGGAATTCTTACTGGTTGGTAGGTGATCAAATACTTATGTCATGCAATAAAATGCAAATGAATTACTTAAAAATCATACAATGTGATTTTCTGGATTTTTGTTTTAGATTCCGTCTCTCACAGTTGAAGTGTACCTATGATAAAAATGACAGACCTCTACATGCTTTGTAAGTAGGAAAACCTGCAAAATCGGCAGTGTATCAAATACTTGTTCTCCCCACTGTATATGGTGTGTATAGACAGTATGGACAATATACAGTGCCTTCAGAAAGTATTCACACCTAGGGCTGTGGCGGTCACGAAATTTCACCAGCCGGTTATTGTCAAGCAAATAACTGTCGGTGTCATTGACCATTAATTCACATAAACACATTTAGCATCTCCTGGCATCCACATATAGCCTACAAGCCATTTTAAAAAGTATACTAAATACATGTAATATAGCCTACAACTTCACAATAAATCCATTATTTATTTTAGACAGGTCTAAAGAAGCATGATATGAAGAAAATGTAGTCTATTTCAGAAGAAAAGAATAGCATACTCTGAGTTGTCCTTATGTTAGGTCCTGATCTGGCTATGCCAAATGGCTGTGGGCTACACTAGTTCATTTAGCAGACAAGATTTGCTTATAATTCCGTGGCATTATTTTACATTATTTTATAGTATGAAGAATACAATTGAACAAAGTTGAATAAAATATAAATATTTTCTCCAAACGATTTGAGGGAGTGCGCACATGCGTCTATTCTGTGTTGAGCTGTTAACAAAGAAATAGGTATTTTTATATGCTTAATTTAGAGTTATTAATGTAACTTTAGTTGTTCCACAAACGTTGGGCTATATGTTTTGATGTTTAATACATTGTAAGGCTGCATGATGAGATTCTAATGATGATTTGAAAAAAGTTGCTTAAAAAGGCATGAGCTCTGCTTTGTTTTTTGCGTAGGTTGTACACACTCCAATAGTCTCTCATTCACAATTTGACAAGCACTTGATAATGCCTGGAATTTCGCGGTGGCATCCCCTTTGTGGCCGTAATGCTCCCTAAAAAAGTCCATGCCTTTTGCGGCCTGGAGTGCTGCGTTGTGCCCTTCTCTCTGAGTGTGCTGCGCAATCGGAAGCCCTCTCACTCACATGGCTCTCCGTCACGTGATCGGGTCTTTCTCACAGGCTACAAGTTAAGGAAAGACACATCGAGGACGCAACTGCGCGCGTCCTTATCGAATTCCGAGGTGCATATTGAAGATATTGGAAGAACTTGTCCACATTTACTTTTCGTTAGCCAACAAGATGAGTAGGCCTAACGAACAGCAAAAGCACTAGTCTATGTCAATCTACTATCCCCCATAGTACAAAAGTCAACCTATTCTATTCTGTCCGAGGAATAAATATTCCAAACATAGTCTGGGACAGTTGTGGGATGCGATAGATCCCAAATTAATGCAACCACTAGCATCAAAAAACAGTATTTATGCAATGTGGCTGACGCAACAGATCAGAACGTTTAGCTTAAAATGTTGATAAACTATTAGGCTATTTCTTCACATTATAAGCGCAGCAATGCGCACATGGTAGTAGGCTATAAGCGCAAATGTCCCATTAGCGTAAAACACCATTAACAAAAGTGACCGCAAATGCAATTATGCATGTAATGCTTTTATTATAGAGGTCCTTTTTATGGTGAAAATGATCTTCCCCAAACTTGAAACTCACGCTCTGCTTATATATGCCAGTTAGGCTCTACACTCCTTGTAAAGCGGATTAATGTGCTTAATTTTAAGAAGTTATTTGGCCACTTTAGTTGTGATACAAACCTTATTAAAACATATATGCCTATGGGCTAGGCTACATGAGGTGTGTGCGACTATGATTTGAAAAAGTCGCAAAAAAAGGCATTGTTTCTTATGCTGGGCATCATTCACAAGTGATAATATATAATTCACAAGTGATAGGCTGATATTGTCACCCATCAGACTTTTCTTGATTTAATCTTGTCTTTACATATACTAAATAATATATGCATGACATTTGTTTTGATTTAAAATGGACCATTATCATGCACCTGTGTCGAAACAGGGGCAGCGGGAAAAAAATACATGTCATATGCACTTAAATAGCGAATGGAGGATGCTTTTCCCCGTGGTTCATTTTCATGCCAGCCAGGTAGGCTATACTCCTGTTGTAAATATAAGCAATGTGCTTAATATTAGGAAAGTTGAGAAATAAATATAGTAGGCCTAGCCTATAGAAAGCTGATGGGATCCTACTCTTTTTAATAGCGGCCATCACTCTGTTTTCTCCCACAATTGCATAGCCTATAGAAATGTTGCACAACATGAACTCATGGGCTCTCATGAAGTGTTTGATTAGAATTTTTGAAAACATTTGCATTGATGTCAGAGTGATTAGAGTGACAATAGAGTGCTGAGTACCAGGCAGTTAGCAAGTTTGGTAGGCTACTAATGAACAGCAGCAGCATCAGAGCTTGGAGAAGCCTAATTACCGTGACTAAACGGTCATGTGGAATTTGACTGCCTTCA